CGGATATCCGGATTTAGGATATCCGTAAAAATAACCGGATATCCGGATCCGGTTTTTTTTTATATAAATTCTTTTTTGTTAATAAAAAATTAAAGAAAAATATTTAAAAACAAATAATTTAACATAAATAATTAAAAATATTATTAAAAGTATTATTATTATATAAAAGATAATAAAAATTATTAATAAAATTTAAATAATAGTAATAAAATATTAATAAAATTTAAATAATAGTAATAAAATATTAAAAAATATTATTATAATATAAAATATCCCGGATCCGGATATCCGGCTTTAATTTTTCTATTATCCGGATCCGCTTTTTCATTATCCGGATCCGGATCCGCCCCACCCGGATATCCTGTTTTTCGGAGCGGATCGGAGCGGAGCGGATCTCGGATCGGATCCCGGATCCCGGATAATTGGTCTCACCCCTAGTATGTGGTCATTATAACACATCTAATTGAGAAAAGAACTCATACAAAATCAAAACGATAATGTTTTGGAAATTGCATCACACGCGTTACATGCATATACCCCCAAATTCCAATATTGCCAATATAGTACGGAGATGCCAGGTTTTTTAGTAGCAAGAAAGTTATTTATCTCGTGTGATTATATACCATAGAGGACAATTCTGTAAATCCTGACTTTGGTGTTTTATTCACCACTTTGAGAATCAAGAGTGGCCGGCGAATTTATAAAAGATTTGTATCGTTATTTTAATCCTCTTAAACTCGGAATCTCGGGTGGAAGTCAAACTCTATAAGCTAGAATAAAGGTCCATTCATAGAATTAATTAATAATCATCACGATGCAATGCAAGTCAAACTCTCTAAGCTAGAATCAAAGCACAATAATTAATTACTCTCTGTGTTTTATAATAAGTGTCGTTTAAGGTTTTTGCACACATTAAAAAAATAATTAAATTTTTTGTTTTACCCATTATTTATATATTTTATTATTTTTTCATTGGTCAATATATTAAATTAGTAGGGATGAAACTGAAAATTTTACCGAACATCTGCATTGAAAAAACAAAACGACACTTATTTTAAAACAAAATTCAAAGGCTAAAACGACATTTTTTTTGTTAAAGGCTTTCATTAATAACAAAAAGAAAAGTATACAAAGAAGCGAGATATTACGATCAGAACTAGCAACAAGTGCTAAGAGAAAGAAGGATTCAGAACAAAGAAACCTGAATAAAAAAGAGAAAAACAGATCCTAACTTCTGCCTTTTTCCTAAACCTTAGATGGTCCAGCATTGATATTGAGATCCCATGCTTAAAGCCCAGCTGATTCAATGCATTACACTTGTTTTCCATAGTGGAAATAATGTGCTTTGCTACTATAACTGGAGAAAGAGAGAGACCATCATGGAAACGCCGATTTCTTTCCCGCCATAGTTCATAGATTGCTCCATGCCAACCTTGAAGGAGAGCAAGTTTCTTCTGTTTCATTAAAAATATAATTCCAACATTTCGACATAAGTTAACAAAACTAAGTATATTTTATTATATAAATATTTTAGCTAAAAACACGCAACTTAAAAAATATCGATTTTTAAAAAGTTTAACCAATCATGAAAAAGACTTTATAATATAAATATTCATAAAATATTAAATTAATCTATAATTTGTCTAGAAACTTGAAAACATCTTATATTGTGAAACAAAAAAGTTTCTCCAAAACATCTTATATTATAAAACCGAAGGAGTATATCTTATGAAAATATACTAAGTAAATTTCTCTTCTAGTTAGAAAACTGAAATAGTAAGGATAGAAAAGGATTTAGTTTTAAAATTTGCTTCAGAAATACAAATGCTATTTTTTATGTAACAAAATTAAATATTTTTTTATAACTTCAAAGTTCGGATCTAAACCCTAATCTTTGTGGGTTTGGAATCGGCTTTTAATTTATTCTCTTTGGGAATACCCTCTCTTCCCAAAAGAAATTAAACTATGAACACAATCAAAATAAAGTGTTAAAACCAATTTTTTTTTGTGAAACAGAGGAAGTGTTATATGTCCCCCAAGTTTCCCCAAAGTTAAACATTTTGTAATCGTATTTCGGTTTGTGTTAAACCAATGTATTACGTATACGTTGCCTCCTCCTTCGTTTCCCCCACGTGCATCACGTTACTAGAAGGACTTTCAATTCTATACCACGGTGTATATATGTAAATGAGTTTCATTTGATTTCCAACTTTGTTTCATTGAAAGTGTACCACCATATTAACAATCTATACCGTTTAAGCTAGTTACATGCGACAAATGATTCTCAAATTTAAAACATTGCATCTTCTTCTATTAATTTTTTTGTTGGTTGGGTTATGTTAGGTAAATTATTTTGGGGTTGAAAACCATAAGAACAAATGTCAACAAGTATATTCTCTCACGAAAGTCCTTTTATGTCGTAGAACGTTAATTATGGTTTGTAAGTTTGGTGACTCTCCTGACTTTTCATAACCTTTAACATGTTCTTTGCAATCTGTGTCAAACACTAAAAATTTGAAAACTTTTATATTCTTTTGGCGATTTCAGATTGGGAAAGGCTGTTCTTGATGATGGTTTGACTTTGAAACATGAGTCACTTTATATGTAAACTCATGATTACTCATGAAAAATGTAATTTATAGTGGAAATCATAATAAGAGTTACAAAATTTGAAGAATTCATCAAACGCTAAGAAAATTCAAAACTTCTCCAAAGGAAACCTTTGGTTATCCGAGTAACTTCGACACTAAGAAAATATCGAAAATTTTCCAAATTTTTCATATGAAAATTGTGAAGGTAATTTTTAAGCTTTGATGATAGCTGAAAAATCATTTCCACCGAAGAAAAAATCGTCTACATAGACGCATAAAGCTTAATTGTTCCATTGCACCATTAATAGTAAGAAATAAATAAACGGTATCTTATGCCAATATCACACGGAGACAAGGGAACATCTGTTTTTCATGTGTCCTTTCTCTCTGCAGGTATGGCAGACACTCGCAAAAAGAATTCTCATCTCTAATTTTACAGCAAACTAGAAGGAAATCCTCAAGCTGATCAACGGTAATGGTCTAGACAGGACAAAGAGCTTCATTCTTCGGTACATCTTTCAAAATGTTATTCACTCCATTTGGGAAGAAAGGAACAACAGACGACATGGCGAAGACCCATCCCCATGTGAGAGGCTGGTCAAAATGATTGATCAAAACATTAGAAATAGGCTGAGCACAATTAGGAGTGGAAGAGATCTCAAGTATGCAGGAGGCATCCAAGTTTGGTTTGAATCAAAGCAACAAGGATACAATCTCAATCTTTTGTTTTTCATTTTTGTTTTAAAAACAATATGCACTGAAGTGTAAACAAGTTTATTTTTTTCTTGAATATAATTTAACATTAGATTCAAAAAAAAAAAAAAGATGGAGAGTAGCCTGTATTAGGGATAATAATATCCCACATTGGAAAGGACAAGAGATATTGACTAGTATATAAGATATATGGGCCTCTCCACTCATAGCCAATTGGTTTTGAGTTGGAAGCCCATATTCTAATATGGTATCAGAGCCCGATCCGTACATGTCCAAATCCAATCCACCATCGGCCTGGCCCAATAGTTGGCCCGCCGATCCATGCCCGAGCATACCGAGATCAATGGCTAGAGCCATCATCTCGAGGGGGCGTATTAGGGATAATAATATCCCACATTGGAAAGGACAAGGGATATTGACTAGTATATAAGATATATGGGCCTCTCCACTCATAGCCAATTGGTTTTGAGTTGGAAGCCCATATTCTAATAGCCTAGAGAGTTGCAAACTATCATAATCGCTTATTTTTTTTTTTTGGTAGGTATCATAATCGCTTATCTTTTGTAATGTCATAACACACCTCATCAAGGCAAGAAAAAGAATAAATTACCGGATCGGTACTTATTTCAGAGAAAATTATCAGATTCGGTACGTTTGCCAAGTCTTGCTGGTTTAGACATTTTTCATTTTAACCAAGTGTCGCATTTACCCTTATCACAGTTAATTGTCTCTCTCCTCTGTGTTTTATTTTTCTCGACCAAACCAACAAAACGCGATGCTCCGATCTTCTTCCTGCGACTACACAATCTGATCGCCCAAACGAATTAGCTTCTCATGGTTGTGACTGTGATGCGATCCAGTGAAATAAATGGTACTTGTGAATGTGATATGATGAGATGATTAGATCCGAAGAGAAATTTTGTTTAGATTTAAAGATAAAATTGGAAATTTCGATTCCATTAATGTTTCAATTGAAGCCCTTGGGTTTAGTAATCCCTCTTAGGGTTTAGTTTTCTTTATTCAAAACGAAACTAATTGAATCCATTGTGGTTTTTGGAGATGGCGTTAGCGGCGGAGAAATTTTGTGTGTTTAGATCGGAGATGGAATTGGTGGCGGATGGGAGATGGTGTTTCAATTGAAGCCCTTGGGTTTAGTAATCCCTCTTAGGGTTTAGTTTTCTTTATTTAAAACGAAACTAATTGAATCCATTGTGGTTTTTGGAGATGGCGTTAGCGGCAGAGAAATTTTGTGTTTTAGATCGGAGATGGAGTTGGTGGCGGATGGGAGATGGTGTTTGGCGGTGGAGATGGTGAGAAGGGAGAATTATGGCTAGGAAAACGAGGGTTGAGGTTAGGAGAGGAATCGAAAGTTGGTCATGAGAGGAAGAGAAGTTTGTCGTCATAGAAGAATGAAGGAGAACCCTAATTCTCCGTCACCCGTTACCACCATGGTAGGCCACTATCCTACCATCGAAAGTTGATAGGGCAGAAATTTGAATGATGCGTCGCCAGCACAAAGGCCATGCGATCCGTCGAGTTATCATGAATCATCAGGAAGAATGAAGTTTGTCGACAGGGGCAAAATTGTCTTTTACTCTGATCCAAAAATACCCAAATTTGAAGGCCTGATAGATGTTCCATTTTTGAAAGTTTTGGGCCAAATAATACCCAAATCAGCAATATTCCCCAAGAAAAACGGATGCATGTATCTTCTTCTCTTCTTCTTTCATTATTTAATTAATTACCTCCAACTTCCAACAACCACCCAACTTAGCTAAAATAGTCCGCAACATCGATGTATGAACACTATTTCGTATACAAATTATATATGCTTGCTTTTAATTGTTAAAAATATGTGAAATGTAATTGTTCCAAACTTTGCGAGGCAAATTTAGGAATTTATTTAGATGACTTTGTTGAAGACAAAGTTTCCGTATAAACGTAGAAAGGCAAAGACGGTCACAATGTCACATAAGTTGGCCACTTATCCACCTCTGGAACATTATAAAGCCCTCCATTGGTTTAAAGTCTAGAGTGTGTCCACCTCCCTAAAATCAATACATGAAACAATTAGGTACGTAATACAATTAATTAAAAATGAAACCCTTTACTTTTTAATTTATAATAGAAAATGTTAAGTAGAATAACAAAAAGACTTGCTTTAATAGTGGCAAATGTCATCTTATTAGCATAAGTTATAGTGTATCCAGCAACTTGATTGTTTATCATCCATGGTCTCCAATCGTCAATAATGGAATAATTGAGAGATCTTATCCATGCTTGAGTTCCAAGAAAAGGTATTCCCATATCATGATCACCGCTATTTAAAAACAAATATACATTATCTACTGAAGTTTTTTTGTAATATGAAGCAAAAATAATAATATGATAGTTGTCAAATTCTTACCTGTAGATTAGAGATGAGTAACCATTTATACTGTTATTTATATGGTATGGGACACTGCTTATAATGTCCTTCTTGTAAGGTATATCACGGTAACATAGTGCCCATTTTGTTATACTCTCCTGCAATTATTTAGACAATTTTGGCCTACCATCATTCTTTATCAATATTTTAATAATACATTAACTTACTACATATATATAATTTTATTTATACATTCTTCACTTGAAGAACTTTGCGAACGCTCTTGTCATTGGCCCAGTACGAAGCTAGCGAATATCCATAGTCCTGCATAAGCTAACTTTGTGTAAGTATAATCATGAGATGTTCTATTTTTAATGGTATTTCAATGAGACAAAAGATAAATGTAAGAAGATCATTTTACTTACATAGCAATCAGGAGATGTATATTCGCAGCTTGGTGATAATATAGATTCCATATTTATTCCAGAAATAAGCTATAAGTAACCACAACATTTGAATTCATTAGAGTATAATAGGCAGATAGAACATCAACTATATATTACCATGTATCCATAATCTATACCTTTTTGAAGTTTGTAGTGAGTTTTAAACATTCTGCGTTACGAGGATCCACATTTATATAGTTTTCTCCGCATGTTCTTTTCAATGACTTCAAGAAAATAGAAACGTTTTTGAAATACTTTATTGTGATTACCAAAAGCACAAAAGCACGCCATACCTCGTAGAGTTCATCACATATTAATGCCATTCCATGAGCAAATGGAACGCGGTAATTAGGATCGATATCAACGTCTGTTCCCGGATTTCCTAGCACATAACCCTTTTGTTGGTTTTGCATGCAAACAAAAAAATTATGAATTTCCAATGCACCAAATTTTTTATATCTATGGATACAAGTACAACGTACGAAGCAATCAATACTGACGAACCTGAAGATTAATCTGAGGTTTGCAGCATATATAATTTCCTGCATTATAGTGTGTATACTTATATAGTAGGGGGAAAAATCCAAAAAAGCAAAATACACCTTTTGATCAAGAAAAAAAGGTATTCAGAAGCAAAATATACCTTCTGAGATTTCTTGAACAATTGCAGGAACAACCTTACCAGCATAAGAACTTCCAGTGACAAAGAAAGGATTAGACACAAAATCTGGATGGTTGCCTAGCCACTGCATTATATATATAACAACCAAAAGAATTAAAAAAAAAAAAACTTTCTATATATGCATGTTCAAAAAAAGAAAGAAAGAAAAATCATGCATCAAGAGACATTTAAGTTCTACTTTTTTAAACCTTATGAAGAAACTCATGGACACGCTTAGCTTCTCCTGTGTCACTTGGTATATCAACTAGTGGAGTTGTTGAGTAGGAGAAGCCAGTCCCAACAGGCTGATCTAAATATATTATGTTGGCCACCTGAGAACCAATGATCAAACAAGAATCAAAAGAATAATTAAAATGGAAATATTTTGTAATATCTTTTTTTCCAGGAAATAATTCTGAACCTTTAGACCATTAGGCCCGGACCAGCTTACAGAAAAAAAAAAAAAAGACTTCGTAATAAGTTACTATATATATTTTGTATTACCTTTGTCCATGAATATGGAGTAGAGACCAAGGAAGGGATGCCTCCATTGTAACCATCAATATTGATAGTCACAGGCCCTGCGATGTGAACTAAAAATCAATAAAAATTATTTAAAGAAGTAAAAAGAATTAGATATGTAGAAATTAAGATATATTAGAAATTTACCATTTTCAAAAAGAAGACCAAATAGACAAGAGCAACCAGGTCCTCCAGTTAACCAGAGAAGAAGAGGGTCTTCTTCCGGATTCCTCTCAGATTTGATGAAGTAATAAAATAATTGAACTTCCTCTGCCTCACCAACACCAATGTACCTACTCAATTTATATATGAATCATAAGTAGAGTCATTCGAAACATTCGGTTTAGTAACTCACAACATGCGGTTTAGTTGAAACGGTGGTTAATCGGGAAGATGAGATGAAGAGGCGACTGACCCGGTTTCGAGCTCGAAAGGAAGAGGACCTACAAAACCAGGAAGATACCTAATGATAGAGGCTGAATAAACATGGTGAATCAAACCAAGTAGAAGGATAAGTAACTTTAGATACTCTTTACACATTCTCATTTATTTTACAAGAATTATTTGGGACAAATGATGATATATATAATACATTAAAGGGGTTAGGTTACGGTTCGTGATTCCGTTGTCATCTTTCTCTTAACTTCTGTGTCAATCTTTGGGGATATATAGTAACAAATTAAAAGGTCATGTAATGCTAATTTGCTCTTACTCACACTTGGACACAAAAACAGAGAAGTAGAAACATTTCCTTTAGAGAGAGAAACTAGTAGTCCACATTATAGAATGGTTATCCAATACTACACTTATGCTGCTAATAATGGAAACAAACAGAGTTCTTTATTATTGTAAAGAAACTTACAGCGCAAGGCAACAAGTAGATTAGGAGAAGAAGAAGCAATCAAATCTGGAAGATAGAATATGATGGATTATCTGTAAAGATGTGATTTTCTTGCATAATGTTGGCTTATTATAACATAACACATATATCTGTAACATATCGATCTGAGGATCATGCAAAGCACAAACTAATCAAAATGGGCTATTCCGTCTTCGGACCAACATGGTGGCCCATGGTTTGTTTGTTTTAGTAATACTGTATATTGCGTGAATTATGTGAGTGTGTATATTATAGACAAGTCATTTCTATAACAATTTTCCTGTCGTTATCACGTTTTCGTTGTTTAGTTTAAAATAAAAAAGAGAGTTGCGTAGCATTGGTGAAATGACACGATAGGTCGCCAGATTAATTAGAGACAGAGTGAGACTTTGGTAAACCACTAACCACATCAAACATATATATAGGACTGTTTATATAATAAAGACGCAGAGGTTAGGAACATGGAAGTTTTCTTCTTTGTCGAGGAAACATGGAAGTTTCAAGTTCAACTGCACCAAAGAACAAACCATTAAATCGCCTAATTCTAATGGGACACGTAACAAAAAGATGGGCATAAAATCTTTTAATGAAAATGGTAATTATTTAAAAACATACTTAGTAAATATGAATTTTATCATACTTAGTAAACCAAGATAAAACATGTTTTTGAATTTAAATATCGTGGGATGCTTATTTGATTAAAGGTCTAGAAACCGGAGCTCCTATAGCCCCGATAAAAATGCATAACAAGTTCTTCCCCAACGAGGCGAGCGGATTAGGACACTAGGATCATTGCAGGCAGCATGATCATCTAGGAGATTAAATTGTATGTTGGCCTTCTCAAAATTACCTCTTAAGTCTTAAGAATTTCAAACCCAATCATAGAACCTCAAAACAGACAAAGTAGTCGCTTTGGAATTGGCTAGGTTTATGGAACCATAGTTCACGTAATTTTAACGTCTAGTATAATTTCTGAACAACAGAATTTTGGATCTATTTGTATGTATACAAATATCTAATTAATAAGGACGACTCGTGAATGTCCTTACATTAAGTTTCACTGTCGAAAAAGTATAGTACAATACTTGGCATTAATTTCCACGTCTCAAGTCTATGCCGTCATTCACGGAGAAAGAACATCTATGCTTTTCATCCAAACTACTTTTCTCACCTTGTTATATAATTCTTTATTATTCATTAGAATCCCCTATAATTGTTTTTAAAATGCACCAAAATAAAAGCTTACGCATGACTTTATTTAGATTATTGTTACTTTAGTTTAGTCTATATATCTAAAATTAAGTTAAAAAAAAGACTCAATAGTCCACTAAAATGATGACCTAAGAAGATGGTTTTATGCCAGATTTTAGGAAAAGTAAGTCTAGGTTTCACATCTCGACTTTGACTGCATAATCTTCGCCATTAACAACGGAATTATATACGTCAAGCCAATTTACCATGTTACATACTTTTTTATTGAGATGAAAATATTCTTTTCTTGATTAATCTAAGTGTTTGCCTAACTAATATAACTACGACTTTTCAGTGAACATCCCATGTAAACTCTCCTTGGTGTTTCATTTGTCAAAGAGTATTGTCGTTAGTCGTTAGTCGTTAGTCATTAAAATCATTGAAAAAAATAACAAGAATTGTAAAATTTTCTAATACTTTAATATTAATTTTTGATTTATTACCCCTTTATAAATAGGCTATCGCTCCAACACCTATAACCACACTCAAAAGAAAATCCTCTCTTCTAATTTGCTCTCAAAATTTCTTTTATACTTGTCTCCTTAGTTTGCGTCTCCACTACACATCACAACATGGCTTTGAAGACAGTCTTTGTTGCTATTACGCTTCTCCTTGCCATCTATTCGCAAACGACGCTTGGTAAGTTTTTATTGTATATACAAGCTAGATATAATTAATTCTATTGTATTAACATTTTGAACTTGCATCATAAAATTTAACAAATCTAAATTAGCTTTCTCGATTATATGTTCTGCTTAACTAAGACATTTTCAAAGGCATGTTATTGTCATTGCATGCACATATATATATACTAAGTAGCATTGTAATTAATTTGGTAGGACACGATGTGAAGTGCGAGAATCTGGATGAAGACACGTGTGCATTCGCGGTCTCGTCCACTGGAAAACGTTGCGTTTTGGAGAAGAGCGTGAGGAGGAGCGGGATCGAGGTGTACACATGTCGATCATCGGAGATAGAAGCGGACAAGGTCACAAACATAATTGAATCAGACGAGTGCATTAAAGCGTGTGGTCTAGACAGGAAATCTTTGGGTATATCTTCGGACGCATTGTTGGAATCCCGGTTTACACAGAAACTGTGCTCGGTTAAATGCTTAAACCAATGCCCTAACGTCGTCGATCTCTTCTTCAACCTTGCTGCTGGCGAAGGTACGGTTTTGGGGAGACCGGTACGGTTAAAATAACTTTTTAATCTAACAGATTGCAGTTTAATTTATTTGTTTGGTTTGCTATAGGAGTGTATTTGCCAAAGCTATGTGAATCACAAGAAGGGAAGTCAAGAAGAGCAATGTCGGAAATTAGGAGCTCGGGAATTGTAATGGACACTCTCGGACCGGTTGGACCGGTTAGGTTGGGCGAGATGGCACCGGAGCCGGCTACTTCAATGGACCACATGCCGGCACCTTCACCGTATTAATTAAGGGAACGGAAAATGGAGAGAACACGTACCATGTCATGAGTTTTCGACGAGAATAATTAAGAGATTTATGTTTAGTTCGATGGTTTTAGTATATTACATCGTTTGTTGCGTACTTATATGTATTTCATAAAACACACCACGAGCCACGAGGCATAAGAGATGGTGGAAGTAGGATGCGTTCTGGTGTAACTTTTACACAAGTAACGTCTTAATTATTATATTATATGATCCAATAATATGTTTTGAGTTTTTTTTTTGTGAATATATATATATATATATATATATATATATATATATATATATATATGCTTATTGAAACTAGGATGGAAAGTGGAAACATGTTGGGAATCTAGAAATTTGGGTATCCGTAGTCAAACAGATAATAGATTTCAAATATCTAATTCGGAAAGATTGGTTATAATTGATCTCAAATACCATATTTGAAAATTTAGGTGTTAGAATGTCCCACGTGAGACTTAGAGATATATATAAAAGACAGTGTGTGAATGCCAAAATTTTTGTAGTTCATGTACCCAAAATTTTGGCGTTCGAGTTACACCACAAATATTTATAGGTATGTACATTAAAATTTTGGTGTTTTCTAAAATTAAGTATCCGTATTTCGATTGGGTATGGATATACAGAACGCCAAAATTTTAATATGCATACCTATAAATATTTAGGAACTTATTAGAAGGCAAATGTGCCCACGCCTAGTTGATACCTTGGTTAGGGAAATATTAAACAGTGGGATAAGTTTGGGCCAGACGTAGTCAAGCCCATTTTAAACAACACAACATCCCCTAGCAAGAGCTTCTTCAACGAACAAAGAAACTTGTGTCTTCTTCTTCGTCTTCACTGCCTCCATCGCCGCCGGCGAAATCAATCGTATTTCTCTGAATACAGTGGTCGACCATGGTGAACCAAAGGCGAAGACTTGCGCAGAAGCGATACAAGGAAGCTAATCCAGAGCTGTTTCCAAAAGCAGAACCAACACCACCAAAGGACCCTAATAAGAAGAAGAAGAAGAAGAGCTTGTTCAAGAAAAAGAAACCTGGATCTTCCACTGATAGACCTCAGAGAAAAGGCTCGTCGACGAGACATCCTCTTCGAGTTCCTGGTATGAAACCTGGAGAAGGCTGTTTTATATGTCACTCCAAAACCCATATTGCTAAGCTCTGTCCTGAAAAATCTGAGTGGGAGAGAAACAAGGTTTGTTCTTTTCTTGATTTTTCTTCTTTAATCATTGGTTTTGGGATTAGGGTTTTAGTTCAATTTGGTTTTAGAATTCAGTAGAACTCAAAGATGAATTTTTTCATGGTTAAACTTTTCTAAATGTTGATACTTTGATGATCACTAGACTTGTTGTTGGCTAGAAAATGAATGTTTTTGGTTTTGTTGTTTGTAGATATGCTTGCAATGTAGGAGGAGAGGGCATAGTCTTAAAAACTGCCCTGAAAAGAACGATGAGAGCTCCGAGAAGAAGCTCTGTTATAACTGTGGAGATACTGGCCATTCACTTTCCCATTGTCCTTACCCTTTGGAAGATGGTAAGTCTATTCCTTTATCTTCTCTTATTAGCTAGCTATATGTGTTAAATCCGGATCCGGAAGGTTATCGCGTTCCCTATTAGAAGATTTGAACAAAAATAGCAGTAAGAGTTGTTGATTTCACCTCTCAATTCACTTGACTGAAGTTTAGTTCTTGTTATTTGAAGAGTTAACTTAGTTACCCATAGAATTGTATTTCTGGCTCTACTATATTCATTGTTCTGTGTTAAAAAAAAACTAAAATTAGATTTGGTTGATGTTTTGATTCTTTTGTAGGAGGGACCAAATTTGCAAGTTGTTTCATTTGCAAAGGACAGGGGCACATAAGCAAGAACTGTCCTCAAAACAAGCATGGAATCTACCCAATGGTATGGTACAATGCTCAAATCTTGTTTTGAGCCTTTTCTTTTCCTCATAGAGGATGAGTTTTGATATGTTGAACAATGGATTTGGGTGGGCTTTCTTTTGCAGGGCGGGTGTTGTAAAGTGTGTGGGAGTGTGGCGCATCTCGTCAAAGACTGTCCCGATAAATTCAACCAAGAGTCAGCCCAACCAAAGAAGACTTCAAGTAACATTTTCTTTTGATTCACTATGTCAATTCTTGAACTTCTAATTATGTGATCCTAGTCAAGCTGTTTCTCTTTCATTTGAATCGTCTGTCAAGTGACAGTAAATGCGATCTCATTTATCTTATAAAGACCATAAATGTATCTCCCTGCCTGAAACAACAGGATTTGATGCTACACCAAGAGGAAAGGTCACTAAGTTAAGTGGGGACGATCTTGAGGACGATTTCACTGAAGAGCCGAAAAGCAGCAAGAAGATCAATATCTCTGATGATTCAGATCAGAAGAGTGTCGATGTGAAGAAAAAGAAACAAGGTCCAAAGATTGTCAATTTCGTTGGATGATCACAAATTGAAACAAGAGGATCTAAAAGGGTCATCAATTTTGTAGGAAATATCAAATTTTTGTTCTTTATCTGCCTCTAAAGTTTTGTAAGGACAAATTGCTATTTATGATTCAGAACAATGCTGCTATGTAATGGAACAAGACAGCCAAATTCTTTTTCAGATAAGCTTCTAAACCGAACAAAACCGGCCAAGAACCAAATAATCAAACTGCAAATTTATTTGAACCAGATAAGGATAAACATATGCTAAATTTAGAGTAGAAAAACTCCGGAAAGAGAGGATGGTTAGGTGAATTTGAAGGATAGAGAGTAAAAAAAGGTGTGGTTTGATGTTATAAGAGGGAGAGATATTAATGGTTGTCCGAGTTCCTCTCCATTGGCCTCTTCAAATCAAATTAAGAATCTCTTATTCCCCCAAATTTTTCATTTCTCTTTTTCTTCATTCTTCATCATATCCTCCCACAAAAGAGGACTAA